AATGCAGAAGTCCCTGAAGTCAAAAAAGCAGGGATTAGTTAGCTCAGTGATCATCACCACTGCTGGTCAGTAATAGCGTATTCTTCTAAAAGTCATTCGCATTTAATTTTCTTCAAGAGTCTCATTATTGATCATTATTATCACAGCTGGGCTGGATCTCACAGAAACATCTTGGATGGATCCTTAGGAATTCATACACGAAGCTGTCTTTTGGGGTATTCTGTTTTAGAAGCCAAAAAAATCAGTAGTAGCCATGCTTGACTGGCTTAGAAAAGAAAATTCATTTGCAATGTATGTAATTCAAAATCAATCAAAAGCAACCATAATTTCGTTGATTGAACATGATATTACAACCTTCCGCTCCATTCTACGAGCATTTATAGTTGGCAGTGCTTAATCTCATTCAAACCTTTTATTTTTCATTTCTTCTATAAGAAAACACTTCTTTGCTTATGTCCAGAATGTTCGTTTTTTCAGGCACACCAAATCATGTCTACAGATGTTTTACATGTAGTACCTAATATTTAATGACCATTTCTAGGTTACTGTCATAGTACTTGAAGTGTCTGATGGGGTTGTGTCTCAGAGCTTCTAAGTTTTTAGCATGCAGTTGCAATTTCCCTTCTGTCTTGTAATTAATCCCTGGGCACGTTCATTTTGGCCACTATATCCAGTTATGAAGGCTCCAGTGCTGTAAGCTTCACCAACTAGAAGGAAGTCTGTGGGACTTGGGCACAGACAATGTGCTATAAGAATGTATTAAAAATATATTTATTTTTATGAAGCACTAAACAATGTTAGGAATGAAATATTTCTTCCCAAACAGAATGCTTGCACTCTGTCCAAACAGATATGCTTTTATTCTCACCTTTCCTCCAAATTAAAAACTACCCTACATCATCAGTTTGAAACTGAACATTAATCAATCAGCTTAGGGCAGGGATTTGCTCAGCATATTGGTTTCTGCAAATCCTAAAACCTTGATGCCTATGAGTTAGGGGGATTACAGCTTAACCGCAGATGGTCAAGTAAAACACAGGCACTGAAATATTTACGAAGACAAATCTTAACAGGGCTGCTGGACTTGAGAAAACCAAGGAAACATGGCCACCTGATGTTTCTCATTTACTGATTATACACTGTTCTATAAAGATAGTTATTTTTTTCCACCTGCTTTTGTACATTTGACAGTAACAGTAGTTCTCCAGTGTGGTACTGAATTAGAAGGCATTTTGTTTGCATTGTTAGAGACTTAATTGAAACAGTCAGAGAGAAAATGTTTTATTACAGAGAGAGAAAGGACTTTTTTTTTTTTTAATAAGGCTCTAAGGGGACTCAGTTTTAATGATGCTTAACACAGTGTTTTAAACCACACGGTACATTTACACACTATTCCTTGTTAAATGTTGGTTATTTAACAGCAAGCTGGCACCAGATTGCCTGCTGTGGATAGTTAGGTCTGCCTTGTACAAGTTCTGACAGTCTCAACACTGATGAAAGACAGTGTCAATTTCAATTCTCACAGTATTTCACTTCTTGACATTTTCTTTGTCAAACTATTTATAACAGATGTTCTTAGCACGGCAGAGAGACTAAACAAAAATATAATCAACTACTAAGCTATACGTCCTGACATCACTTGAAATAGTAGGTATGAGACCAGTATTCTAGAAAGGAGGTACAGCTGTTCCTTGTAGGTGCTTAACACTCAGTGATTTGGTATGAATAATTAAGTATGCAAATGATAATAATCATAAAAACATAAATATCAAGATTCAACAACTGAAAAGAGCAAGCTTAATATAGAACCTCAGAAACTAAGAAATATATTAGTTTGTTTATCGTTCTATGGATAATAATAATCAACACTGATTAGATAAGATTTTGAAAAAAACTATATCAAAGCATGAATTTTCAGCTAAATTGTTTAGCTACAGTCCAGTAACCTTTGAAAGCAGTTGATTAAATTTCTTTTTCAGTATTTTTTTCTCTTCTCTCCTACATGGGAAATGAGCATATTTCTACTCACTTTTTGTAATGCAAAGGGAGGTTGATTATTGGAGACTTTTCCTTCCTTCAAAGGGAATAGGTAAACTTCTATCAATTCAACAGCTGTTTCTAAAACCATTGTAAAAGACAGTGTAACTAAAATAACATATACAGTACCCACTGAGTTCATGTGAAAGAAAGTAGGAACTTAATCTGTAGAAGGTGCAAAGAGAAACGAAATGAAATACAACTCCCCAAAAATGACAGAGCATTAAAACTGAGCTGTTCTTCATAGGCTAGGGCAAGTAAGCTTTAAAGCAAGCTGTATTTAACCATCAAAACTAAGTCTTGCTTTCAAAATATAATTTCATGTCTAGCAAGTCAGAAATTTATGAACATGGCCGAGTTTTGGCATTAAGACAAAGAAAATGTGAGGGTTCAAATAGCAATAGACAAGTCGCGGGCTGAAAATCTGCACTATAGATGCTCATAAAAATAATACTGTTACTCATAGAAGCAATAAAGGCAAAACACAAATAGGGTGTTTTTAACCATCTCAAAAAAGAAGTTAACCATGGAGTTTTGCTTTCTTTCTTCTGATATTTCACCGTAACTTATTTCTAAAAGACAGTTATTCCCTAAAGAAAAAGCAAATCAAATGTTGATAAGGTGACTCAATCAATCATGGGACATATTAGCAGTGGTAAACCAAGTTTTCTAACCAGAGCGTTAACCTTCAGGAGGAAGGAGGAGGAAGTAACAAAATAATAAATCCCCCAAACACGTCAGTTGGTATGCAAATCTAATAACCAGTTACTTCATTATTGGTACTAACATTCCTTCAGTTGTTCCAAAAGGGGAATTTGCACTCTGCAGCAGAGTTTTTTTAATGCGGTACATAAAAGGAAGAGTAATGTCCAAGAAGTCCTAGCAGCTGTCAAAGGTTTATGTAATGAACTAAATACAGTGTAGAGTAATGAAAGTAAACATCTCATCTTTCATAACCAAGTCATCAAGTATACTTTTTGCAATGGTTTGGGGTGAATGGCAAAAAATAAATAAATAAATAAAATCAATAATACCTTAAAACAAAGGGAAAAACCGCACCACAGGAAAAATAATATCCAAACTTCTCACTTGAAATATTTCATGTTTGGATCACTTGTTACTCTTATAGGGAAGAGAAAGGAATCTTGATCTAAAAGCTCCCTAGGCCACATAGTATAGTAATAAATAAACATGCTGTTTCCAGTGGCTTGGTACTTTTCTTCAGTACAAGTTAAGTCCTCAGACTTCTCTAAGACTACAAGAGTGATGGCAAGGGACTCTGAACCGACTCTGAAAGATTGTATATGTTAGTTTACTTCCTCTGTACGTCAAAGGTAACTGGTTGAGAGGTGAGACATGCATTTGTCATGTCATTAGGGATGCTTGTCAAAAAGGCATATTAACAGCAAGAACACATGAAACATTCTCTGCTTGCACAGGAACTGTAATATCCACTCAAAATACAGTAGGTTCCCAAGCAAAATCAACTTCCAAATTTAAGCCATAGGATTTGCACTCAACAAAACTAATTTTGTGCAAAACAGGTTTGGGCATATCACTGTTGGTACCCTAGTATTTAGCAGGGTAAGACCATAACTCTCTGGGTCCGTGAGTTTGTAGCAGTGCTCCCAAATGAAACATACATTCTGAAAAGTACACTGAAAATCTACCTCGAATTGCATTAAGCACCTTAAATGTGAACAAAAGCAAACAAATAATTTAAAAAAAGGAGTAACAGAATTAGGATGAGACTAAAGTCTTAAGTTTCAACCTAAGTTCTGAAGTCAAATGTTTCATTTTCCAGGGAACAACTCCATGAGCATGATATACCTTTTTCAACTGTCACCTTAATCATACGTGCACACACAGATCAGAGATTATGAACACCCATGGTTCATTACTCCATTCTTCCAAATGCTTGTCTTTTCTCTGCTTCACACTGTTTAACAATTGGTACAGTTACACTTTTAATTATCCCAGCAATGGATTCTCTGTAGCTTTACTGGGGCTCCCATTCCACATCCTAATTAATTTTATTGCCATGGAAATTTTTTCTCTTTTTTCATCTACTTTTTATACTTAGTTTTGCAGTAGTGAATTTAACCTTTTACTTTAATTATGTTGCTTTGAACCACATTTTAAGTTTTTTTTCTGTATTCAAGCATATGAGACATTTATCATATCTCTTGATTAACTTCTTCCCTGACTGCCACATCTCCTCTCTTGGCTGTTGTCCCTCACTCCTCCAAAATCAAATAAATAATCTTCTGTTCAATTTTGCCTGCATGAAAAAGGTACAACCAGACCATTTATTCTTTTTCCACTAATTGTTCCTATCAATCTCCAGTCTCTTTGGTAGCTTTTCTTTCTGAATTATTTCCAGCAAGTTCACATTTTTGCCGTGCCAGCTTCAACTCTGCTAACACACACAAGCCAATGCGTGAGTGCTTACTCTTTAAAAATATATATATATGCCAGTGTTAAGTACAAAATATTACAAATGTAGAACACAGTTTAGACAAAATCACACGCTAGTACACATCCTTTGGATATCAACCAAGTGTCTTGGAATCAAGCGTTACCATAGGAAAAGGAGGGAGTATGTGGTAGTACATACCTACCTTAATCAGCAGTAGCAATAGAAGAATAATGCTTATTTTTATCATATGAAGACCCAATCTGAACGTTTCCAACGTTTTGCAATTATCATACATTTATATGCTTGATTAATTTAACAAAGACACTTTCAGTTACAACAAATACAGAGCCTACTATATTTGGATGCTGGAATTAGACAGTAAGTCTAATTTTTTTGATACAAAAACTTCATCTTGCATTGACATGACACAGACAGGAGTACTCCATTTTGGAGGGTTAAAAGAGTTTATACTGTTAGATAAAGAAAGAAGAAATAACTGTCTTAAGCATCACTGTGATTAATCCACTGAACCTGGTACAAAGGAGACAACATTCATTGGCACCTCTGAAATCACAACTTTAAGTGTTTTGAGTTTGGATACACCAATGAAATATACCTTGGTGCTTGCCAGGTGAAATCCAGAGCCTAAAACAGCCTCTACTCATCACAGACAGCCTTCATTTGTGCATGTCTGACCTTCTCATCCTGGAAAATTAATTCTGCTAGTCATAAACAACCTTTTTACCACACATATGCTCCACCTTACCCTTGTGGTGCCTCCAGGTAATTCTCCATGCTGATTTGTTCTAGTCTGACAACTGTGTGCTGGGATTTAAGTTAACCTTTTATACTTCCTTAACAGATGCTTCATAGACTCCAGTCAGGGATTTTGTTAATTGCTTCTCCAATGGTGAGGACATCTCAGCTGCAAGGGATTAGGAAAGATTCAGGAAATTAACAACAGGTAAATTAGAAGTGGATCAGACACTTTCCAATTCCAAAAAAAATGTAAATGTTAAAATCTAAGTTTGATCCTCATGTTCATGCATGCTTTCAAAATAGGATTTGTCAGTTTCAGATGCAAAGCAGCTCCTATTTGGTATTACTGACTTCGTCTAGTTTATATTCTGAAATATTAAAATTGCAGAAATGACCTGCCAAGTATTGATGTAAGCTTATTGACAAAACAGAATGCTTCACAGTAAGGGCATCATATCACAAGGCTCCGCACACTGACTCTGTAATTACTGTTTCAGTCTCTGCATATCAGATCTCTAGCATACTGTGCTCAATTCACCAAAAATAAAAAGGAAGAATTAGCTCGTGTAAGTAGGAATAAATTATCTGAAACAAATAATCTTTGAGAACTCACGAAACCAGAATTATTCTAAAACAATGTTAAACTTCTTTCTCTAAGCTTTAGAAATAATGGGTTGACACAGCAATTTCATCAAAAAAATCACAAAATCCTTACCTAGTAGCACATAGATCTCCCATGCATCTCAAATGCCATTTGATTGTAGGGCAATACAATCAGATAGCCTAAAAAAAAAAGAGCATAAGAGAAATCTTCACACTAATATTCTGTGTAAAATGAGAACAGATTCATATTTTGCAGAATGTGCACATAAAGCAAGGAGAAGGTTAGAATACCTAGACAAAGCTTCAGCTTGGACTGGACAGGCAGGATGATTGTTACTTATTTCACAACATCAGATGGGAAAGAATAGCAAGAGTAGCAGAAATGAATAGCAGGCCCAACTGTACTTGCATTTATCAAATCCTTTAATTACTTCTTTATTCTCTCTCACTTCGCACTGACCTTATTTAAGAGTTTGCATATTCATTCCACTGGGAATATTTTCATTTTGCTATTCCTTAGAAATGAAAAATTTTTTAAATGTTTTAAACTTTTTTAAAAATTATCATCTGTAAAATGTAAACAAGTTTATGCAAGCTCTTGAGAGTGGACATTACACTGATCTCTTCTACTGGACATAGGAGCTCTAACAACCGAGTTGCCGACAATCCATGCTTGCCTGGTTCGGGTTATTTCTTGGCCATCCCTCTTCAAGGGCATCTCTCTCTCTTACATAAATCTGCCTCAGACCAAGGTTAAAGCAAACAAGGTAAGTGAATGGTGCAAAGATTTCACTCAAGTTGCTTGCGTAGAAATCACTACTCGGAAAATGAACTCTGAAGACTCACTCAGCAGTCAAGGAGTTATGCTATGAGGATTCATTTCTCTGTATAAATAACAGGCAGGATATCAGGATATGGCCCATATCTGTGCATACATCATTAACCCACCATTTCAGTATCAGTAGCAATATTTATTGAATCATACAAACTTTGCTTAATTGGCCTATTTCAGAAAGGTTTTGTTTGGAATTCCTTCAGGTTTTTACACCTATTAATATTTATCTTCAAGAATTGTCTTTAAATACTAATAACTGTCCCACTTCATCCATAATTTATGAACCACTTCTTAACACGAAATCCATAGGAATCACTTGCTGCCCCTTGACTCCAAAACTTAAAGCCAGACAAAGCTGTAGTGAACAGCATAGGAATATAACTGTCGCTTTGTGTAGCCTGAGAAAAACCTGCAGTTCAGGTAAAGTTTAGGTAAAATTCATATTTGTTTCACATTTAAGACAAAAAGCCATTACTGGTACCCAGTAGCTTCAAAACCATTTTGTTTATTTTATTTATATTTTAACAATGTTTGACAAGGTAAACCTCTGAAGAAATATTGTATTGCTTGTGGGAAATGGTGCTGTATCATAAGAAAGCAAATATTCCAAGCCATTACAAACAATTCCCTGAAAGAGAGGTGTTTTTTTTTTAATTACAGCTGTCAATCAAAAACATTATTTTGTTCATTGGTATTCAAAGACCACATTTCAAAACGAAGAGTGACATTAAAAAAAAAAAAAAAAGAGCTTTTCTGAAGTAAGGACACACAGGAGAATGGATAATCTGAAATATTTCAGAGATGAAGATGCAAGTCAACATCAGACAGAAATTTTTAAAAGCTTTTCCTAGCACACAGTCAATTACAATTTAAGAGACATCATTTGTGTTGGTTCTTCCAGTCTAAACAGCAAATTCAGTATTCTATATAGTGCAGAAAACAATGTTAACCACAAGTTAACAGTAATTTTGAAAGACAAGGAAGAACATAAAGTATGAGCAAATGAGCCTTCTCAGTTCTAGTCAGAGTCAAGTGTAATATTGCATATATGTGATCACATTCATAAACCATTAGCACAAAAAATGTAAAAATACTTGTGCCTGGATGAACAGAAAAAACTCATTGCAGACTGGACTTTGCAAAGATTTAAAGCATATTCCATTAAAAAAAAAAAAAAGAAAAACAAAACAAAACAAGAAACCAAAAAAAAACCAACCTCAAATCATGTCTAGATAGCAGCAAAAAGATCCCTTAAATGACTGAGACCCAAACAGAACTGACAGAGACCCAAATAACTAAGTCTACGCTTTGTAGCCCATAAAGCACCACTGCCATGTTCTCACATCTCAGGGCTAACAAGCACAGAGATTCCCAACCTGAACTGGAACACAATCAACCCAGCCAAAATTTTCCCACATGCAAAACCTGAAGTTTCCAGTTTTAAGTCTGCATGGGCAGAAGTGACAGTGCCCACACTGTGAGGTAGATATATTCTCAGGGAAGGAGATTCTTCAAGTCTAACTGATGCTGGGAAACCATGAAATACAGGATTCCCTGGCCAGGAAAGAGAGGGATGATCCATAGAGATGCATCTACCCTAAGTGAAACCAGTAGACAAGTGTCATTAATGGAAGCTTAAGTGCAGAAACAAGTTTACAGACACAGTACTGTTACATTCCCACCTAATTTACCCTTTAAAAGTTACCAACAGCTGTGTCCATGAAACGCAACTACTATTGTCTTAAGAAAAATACTACAGATAAAAAAAAGATTTGTTCAATAACAATTGAAATGTTCACTTCAGCGAGTTCTATTACCTTTTTAATAGTAATTACTAACATAGCATCAGATAGTCATATTTTTCTACAATTCTGCCATTGTATTTAATCAATTTAAGTCCTCTGTAAGTCTGTAGGGGTTCCACTTTCAGCAAAGGAACTTAAATTAGAAATCAATATATAAATTCAGATTTTATACAGGTTTAAAATAAGTATAGTCAATGAAACAGGCAGGAAAAAAAAAATGGGGTACAATATTAAAAGGGTAAAGTGTAAGCAAAACAAATGTCTCATAACAGTACAGTGAAACTTCTGATCTTTTGATATTCCAGTGGCAGCAACTTGTTCAGCATACTGATTGTGTTTTTGCAAATACATGCATGTATAAGAATAATTATAAGAATAATATACATCTATTACCTGCTTCTCAGTGTAAAAACTCCAAAATAAGATAGAAGCTAAGAAATCTTGTTGCAGTGAGACCTGGTAACTGTAACCAGCAAAGCACTCACCAAAAAGATACAGTATTCTGAAACCCCACAGCTATGAATTAGGTTTTTTTGGGTTTTTTTTTTTTGTAGTATCTAAATAGTCATGGTAAAAAGATAAAAGATAGGTTTAAATTTTACATGAAGGCTATAATTTGTAAAAAAGAGTAGTTGAATGATGTAGCTACAGATTATTTATCAACCTTCAATCCTCTTAAAAGATATTTTTTTGTAGATCAAGTAACAATGGAGGTTGTCTCATCGCTATAATGGCCTATTTTCTCTGCTCTTATATTTAAGCTATCAAATGTAAATCATCTTCGGTTACTCTGAAGTTTTCTCAGTGTCTCCCCAAAGGCAATGGATTGATGGCTTCTTGTTGAAAAGATTAAATGCAACATTTTTCAATCTCTCTCAAAACATTTTTTCTTCTTCCTCAGACATGTAGCAGTTCACCTGACTGAGCTGTCAGAAAGGCAGACTCTGGCTTCCACTGAACCAGCACAGGTTGTAACCTGGGAAGCTGTTTATACACACAGGCAGAAAACCACCCAAATTATTCCAACAAAACTTACATGAGGTCAATTTGTATGATGAGCAGTGATATCATACCCTGTGATATGATTAGGGTTGATCTGATGGCTTTCCTGAATATGAAGAGGCACATGTAAGGAAGCAAGAATTCTGGTACGAGCAGTATCTGTGATTTGCAGCCAGCAATGAAGTCTAGAAAACGGATGGGAGCTGGATCAGTTCTTAGTACACACAGCAGAATGAATTCTTAGTACACGCAGAGAAATGAATGTCAGTGCCAGTGTATCTTCCAGCAACTTTCTTCCTCATTCAGTAGATGCTATACAGATTTTAGAGTGCATAGTAGGGGTACAGACATATCTGTTTTCCTCTTTTTTTCCTCTTTTCCGTCAGCATTTTCTTTTCTCATCCTTTTTATTTCTAATTCAAAATATAAATTTTTTATTTTCCTATTATTTTTTGCTGTTCATTTTCCACTTTTTTTTTTTTTTTAAATTTAATTTTATTATTTTATTGCTTAAAATCGAGGGGGAACAAGGGCTCTCCTCTACAAATTTAGAATTAAACATATGGCAGTTAGTACAAAGTGCTACCTCCAAAACTGCTTTGTTACCACTCTCTTTCACAGTCTAGAATACACTTCTGCTTTGGTAAATTCATTTTTGTACAGCATGAGGAGATGCATTCTGCTTCCAACTACAGATTCAAAGAAACACTACACGTCACCTTTCACATTAAATAAAAATCAATTTTCTACCTGGATGTAATGAAAGTATTTCTCACTCCTGTTGAAAAGTCACGTGTCTCATCAGGCTTAATTTCAAAAATCGGTTCATTACAAAAGGTAATCTGTTTAAATATAATATTTTAGGTGTTATACAGTTCTTCCTTTTCAAAGGTTATGTGCAGTTTTATCTACTGTATTTAATATCAAGCTTTCTCCTCCCTCCCTCCTGCGTCATGTAAGCTCAGCAGTTATCAAGAGACTTTAGTCTCAGTAAAACTCCACAACACGTTTCATCTAAAAAATGCAGAGCAGTCATCTCTCCCTTTCTCCTCATGATAAAGGACATTCTAGAAGATGAGCTGCACTAAAAGCTCAGATCTGAATCAGAACACAACAGAAAGCCAGCCGTAAAGATCTGCCTGTAGACTGCTGCGAAAATATCTTACTTGCAAAGCATGCTATGTGGTGAGGCAGATAAACGATAACACCGTGAACTAGCAACAGGCAGGAGGCTTTATTCTGCATATATCTGGGTTTGACTTCCAATCTGTTATCAAATACATGGAGTTGAACACGTATTCATAAACATTCAGTTCAAGCACTTCTGCGCATGCAGCGTTTTAACGCAGGAAAAGCAGCAGTAAGCCATTACCCCGCATAGCTGTACCAAAACAAATCTCTTAACATCTGAGCGATTGGAGTGGAATAAAATGGTAGTGAAAGAAATGGCTGGCAATAAACAAATAAATAAAAATAAAGCTCACTTCTGGCAAACAATGCATTTCCAGTCAGATGAGAAAAATTTTTCCCTGACACTCTATCAATCAGCGTGTAGTTTATTTTAAGCTGGTGATAATATAGCTTTGGAGATTAGAAAGCTAGTGAGCTACTAAGATCAAATTAATTTTACATAAGTGAAAAAAAAAACCACAAAACCAACAACAACAAAAACTTCCAGCAAGAAAGCACAAAACTTAACCCTCTCTGTCAAGTTGAGAATGCAAAAACTACTCAGAAATATTACCTAATGTGAATTTTGTCAATATCCTGAAGAGGAAATACATGAGCCAGGCAACAAGCAAGAATACCACGCCTGAGGTGGAGAACTTGATTATCAGTATTTCTTTTTTTAACTGATTAATTAAAACAGCTGTGTGAACACACAAAAAGAGGAACAGAAAGATTTCTGTTTAGGGAGCCACTATTTTTCACATTTTGGTCTACAAGACTAACTGCTGCAGTGCACGTTCAGCATTTTAACAACAGCAGCCCCATTTCCTGGTCAGGGAGACACCCACAGCTGTAGCACAAAGCGTGAGCCCAGCCTAATCGAGAAAATAAAAACCATTTTGATTCACATTCCTAAATTTAAGTCTTGTGTCCAGTATCTGTTTGACAAATTTGATCCTCATTCCCCTCCCAGAAAAAAAAAAATGCTTTAGAACCAGTTAATTACATCCTCTGCAGTCTGTAAGGGAGAGTTTTTGCTGGTGATTCAGGAGCTGGCAAACATCAAGGCATCCAAACTTGATGACAGCAAGAAGTCCAGAAGAGGGAAGGAAAAGCTGGAGTCCTATCTCCTCTTCCTCTGCTTCTTGAACGGGCTCGTCATACTCTTCCTATGGAGATGTGACCGAAGCCACTTGTCCCCGTGTCCCTGTCTCCATCTGATGTCTGGCAGCTCCCCAGGGCACACACACAAGGGGATATTTGACTGCAGAGACCAGCCCCAACACCCACACCATCCTTTGTCTGTGGGTGAAACTGTCACTTGGCCTAGTATGCTCTAACAGGCAAACCAGCCCAGCACGATGCTGTGACACGTGCCACTCCTGTCTTCTATACTGAAATTTAATTGGAAGTTAAAATACACTACTACACTTTTGATCAGCTGTGTCTTCATCAATAATGCTAAAAGAAGCAATCCTTCTTGATTCCCCAAGAGAGGATCATAGCTAAAATGAGACAAAGATTATTCTAAATGGTGGCACAAACCCCAAAAGAAAACATGCCTCTCAAATAAGTGTAGCAGCTTTTAATTTCTGGATTGTTCAGTCAAGCATACACATTCTTGTCTGATGAATAAGAATATAACTACCTAAGGGCATATCAAAAATAACTGTTGCTTTTCCCTTCCTGTCCTTTCTTGGAAGAGAGATTGGTGAGCCAATCAAGAAATTAAAACCGACGTTTCACAAACTGATAGTCATGTTACTATTTATTTATTTATTCTTTGCCTGTTTAGACTGAGTGCAGCTATCAGGCATGTTCATAACGAATCTGACACAGCCTTCAGCAATCTGAACTAATCCTTGAGATAATTAATTCCTTAAAAAAAAAGAAAAAAACACTCAGATCACTATGCTGTCCTACATCATTTGTAGTAAACCGAATGCTTTCAGTTCAATTCAGCCACCTAACTTTCATTTTAAGAAATCCCACGTTCACTAGCTAAGACAGAAATACCAAGTTTAACATTTTGAAATATCAGACTGGTTAAGGAAATAAAGAAGGCATTTTGCTTTGCTTTTTTTCCTTACTTAACATGCACCCATTATCAGCAAAATTCCTTTGCACTCCTTCTTCACTGCAGAAAAGGATGTTCTGATAACTTTTCAATCTTAATATTCTTAATATTAAATATTCTCCCCAAACTCAATTTTATGTTCTGTTGTTTTACCTGTACAGTTACTTTGTTTTACAGATAGGGACCTAGATTCAGTGGTCAGCCCCATTAGCCTTGGCCACACTCTACTTGAGATTTAAATAAATTATTTCGTATACTTGGTTATAAATTAATTCTGTTGAATTTCCAGAACAGTTCACATAGAAAGCAAATTTGTAAGCAAAAGAATCTTGTCTTACAAATCCCTGAATTATGAGAATCTGTTTGTACAACTGAATTTTAATCCTTGACACTAAGCTGTGTCTGCACATATTTAATACTTAAGACTATCTATAAAGACAACAAGGATGTGAGGTAAATATTACTGGATTTTCTGATACAGATTACATCTTCCCCAGGGATACTGAGAGATTTTCAAAGAATTATAAAGAA